ATGTCCACTTCCTCATTTAATACCTGTTTTTTTAATTTTAGTTTTTTTAAGTTTATTTACTTTGAGGGAGAGAGTGTGCGCCAGTGTTGGGGGGCGCGGGGGGGGGGAGAGTCGTAAGCAGGCCCTGCACTGTCAGTGTGGAGCTCCCTCCCCTCAGGGCTTGAACCCACAGACAGTGAGATCATGACCTGAGCCGAAATCAAGAGTCCGACACTCAACTAACTGAGCCACCCAGGTGCCCCTCCTCATTTAATATTTTTTATTGCGCTTGATAACTTTTCTAATCTGAACTCGTGTCTTTGAGTTTTTGTAACTTTTCTTGTGTTTTTTGTATTTGATAATTTCTTCCACTTTTCTCTCTTTTTGAACTTTTATTAGTTGGATGTGAGACTAATAACCTGATGCTAGATTATTAGACTATTAGACTGATCCTATACTTGGCTTACATATTTCTCTTAGGGTAGAGTCCCTTCTTTTCAAACTCTCTGAAAGTAAATCTCTAGTTTTCTGCTAGGGTTAGAGAGCAATAGTTGCCCGGCTGTGCTGACTGGGGGAGGTCTAATTGCTTTTATACAGGTTTTCAGCCAGTCCTGTTCTCTGTTTTACTGCCATCTCTGATTTTAAAGGTACTGCTGCTTCCATTTCTTAAGCCTTTCCAGGTTCTGTATTGGAAAGCTTCTCCTTGACTCTCTTCTGTTGAAGGTACTTGGTTGGTTTTTGGTTCTGCCTGCTAGGTTTTCACTTCTACATCTGCTTTTTTCTTGGTCCTTTGCCTTTTTGTTCCTTTACTGTCTTTTTAATGGATGCTTGAGAGAGAGCTTTTAAGTAGAACACTACTACTTCATGTCTGTTAAAATTCTCTTGCTAACCAGACTTAGTTTTACACTGGACTGAAATTTTGGCCTTGATTAACATGACTCTTTGGTTAAATTTTGATTAAGGGCTTGTCTCCACTTTGTTCAGTTTAAGTGCATGGCATCTTTTGTAGGGCATGGCTCATAAGTGATATTTTTCTAGTGATAGTGGTGTGATACATTTCATGGCAAAATGTTTGGAGTAAATGGTTTATATTTTGAAATTATACATGATAATTCTTGAATCTGTCAGCTGAAGAAAACCAAGTGTAAAGTTTTGTGTGTTTTGATAGTATCGGGCCTTGTTAGATTGTTAGAGTGTTGTATGCATGATGCCAAAGTCATAGTTTTGATTTCTTTGTGAGATAGTTTCATCTTATTTCTTGGCTATACTCTGACTGTGCTGGCTGTTATTTTCACAGCTGCATGCCGGTAATCATCTTAAAATTGGGTGGGAAAGCATGACTGGATCCATGAAGATATATCATTACTAATGGAAATTGAGCTTGAAGTGCTTTGAATATAGAGTATTGTGTAATGTAATGGTAATAATTGTATAATAAAGATTACTAAGAGAGCTGCTGTTTCCTTTCTAACTTCTCCCCACTTGCTTCAGCCACAGTGGCTTCCTTATTGCTCCTCAAACACTTGAGGCATGATTCTAACATGGGGCCCTTCCTCTTACTATTCCCTGTGTATCTGTTTGGGTAACTGCCTCACCTTGAAGGAGTCTTTCCTCACATTTCACCTTTATAATGAAGTTTTTTGTGACTGTTTAATACTTCAGTTAACCTTCACTCTGCTACATGTGAGGCCTTTTAACTGGTTTTTAAAATTTCTTCCACAGGATTTATTACTTTCAAATTTACATATTATGTGTATTGCCTGTTTTTCACCCTAAAATGTAAGCACCACGAAGGTAAAGATCTTTGTTTTATTCACAGATGGGTCTCAAGCACCTAGAACAGTAGCTGACAGTATAGAAGCACTGGAAAATATGAATGAAAGGCATTCTACTTCATCTGCTTACTTCCAGACAGCCCTCTAAAACACCTTCATTGTGTCTTCCTCTACACTACAAAATTGGAAAAATAAACTTTCTTCTCTTTATAATTTTCCCCTGGTTAGCCTCAGAGGGGGCTTCTCTGAGGGTGTGATAAAAACAGCTAAAGAATTAGAGATGTGTTCAGCTCTTGTGCATGTGAACTTATGTGTTTTCTACCAAGCTTTCACATACTTCTGTAGAGGGAAATTTTGCTTTGGTATAAGTTCATCTTTGTCTATAATAGCGTTGTAGAGCACAAGCGCTGAAAACATTTGCTTATTTATAGCACGCATACTTCCTGCCCACACACGTAGATATTATAATACTGCTCACATTGATACAGTGCTTATTTTGTCCTGGTTTTTCATGTTTTATTTAGTTTGTCTTCACAACTGCCTCATAATAAAGTGTGGGTGCTGTTAAATTGTTAATATTTTAATAATAGTGAATACTCCAAGACACATTATATAAGTTGCCCAAGGTCATACAATTATTAAGTAGTAGAGCTGGGATTTGAACTTTGGAAATCTGGCTCCAGAGTCCATGTTCTTAGCCTTTTACAAAAAGTTGTGGGAAAATCTGTGTGACATAAAAGTTACCATTTTTTAAGTGTACAGTGGCATTAAGTACATTCACAATATACGACCATCACTGTTCTTCATTTCCAGAACTTCCACTCTTCCTTCAGACCTTTATTCTACTTCCCCTCTCTATAAATTTGCTTATTCTAGGTGTTTCATATAAGTGGAATCATAAAATATTCATTTTTTTGTGTTTGGCTTATTTTACTTAGCATAATGTTTTCAGGGTTCATCATGTCACGTGTATTAATTTTACTCCTTTTTAAGGCTGAATAATATTCCATTGTATGTATATCACATTTGGTTTATTCATCTCCTGATGGACCTTTGGATTGTTTCTACCTTTTGACTATTGTGAATAATGTTGCTGTGAACATTGGTTTGCAGGTATCTGTTTAAATCCCTGTTTTCAGTTCTTTTGGGTGCAATTGTTGGATCATATGGTAATTCTATGTTTAACTTGTTTCTTAACTTTTTTTTTTTTTTTTTTTTTTTTTTTTTTTTTTAAAGTAAGCTCTGTGGTCAATGTGGGGCTCAAACTCATGGCCCTGAGATCAAGAGTCTCCTGCTCCACCGACTGAGCCAGCCAGGCACCCCTCTCTTAACTTTTTTTTTGATACAGAGAAATACAGTAGTATATACTCAAAGAGGAAAATTTTTTTTTTGAGTTAAATGATTATGTCACAGTCCTTTTTATTCTGTTGTTAGTCAACTGAAGACTGTCTGAGACATACAGTATCAACTTCTGGAAGACAGGGAACCTTGATACATGTGTATTCTATATAGTGTCTTTTTGAAAAAATGTTTATTCATTTTTGAGAGAGAGAGTGTGAAGAGGGGAGGGGCACAGAGAGAGGTTGGACAACGGTCTGAAGTGGGCTCTGTGCTGACAGCAGCGAGCCTGATGTGGGGCTCCAACTCACGAGCCACAAGATCATGACCTGAGCTGAAGTTGGATGCTCAACTGACTGAGCCACCCCAGTGCCCCTATTTGGTGCCTCATTTGATGGGAGCATTCAGCCACATTGGCCAGTTTATCTCATCTTTTCCTACATTAATACATTCTATGGTATGTTCTTTAGTAAGTCTGCTACTGTAATCTGATTTTTCTCCATCATTCCTTCATAAACTTCCATGTAAAACTTCTCCTTTTGAAAAAGTATAGCCTTTTCCAAAATATCCTCTGAATCCATTGTTTGCTTGACATTTTTCTTTTGTTTCCTCTTTCTTTCTTTCCTCTCTTTTGGGGTAGGAGGGACAGAGGGAGAGGGAGAATCCCAAACAGGCTCCATGTACCACGTGGGGCTTGATCTCATGACCTTGAGATCATGACCTGAGCCAAAATCAAGAGTTGGATGCTCAACTGACTAAGCCATTCAGGTGCCCCTGTTTGCGTGACGTTTTTGTTAAATTCTGTAAGGTATTTAGTACATTTTCTAATTCACAATTTATGTTCATTTTGTGTCCTATATAACTTAATTTATCCTTTTTTTCCTTAACATTTATTTATTTTTGAGAGACACAGAGTATGAGCAGGGGAGAGGCAGAGAGAGAGGGAGACACAGAATCTGAAGCAGGCTCCAGGCTCCAAGCTGTCAACACAGAGCCCGACGCAGGGCTCAAACTCACAGACCGCAAGATCATGACCTGAGCCAAAGTCAGATGCTCAACTGTCTGAGCCACCCAGGCGCCCCTAACATAATTTATTCTTTTTTTTTTTTTTTAAATATTTATTTACTTTTGAGAGACAGAGAGAGAGCATAAGAGGCAGAGGGGAAGAGAGAGAAGGAGACACAGAATCCGAAGCAGGCTGTCAGCACAGAGCCTGATGTGGGGCTTGAACTCACGGAGTGCGAGATCATGACCTGAGCCAAAGTCAGTGGCCTAACTGACTGAACCACCCAGGCACCCCTTAATTTATTCTTTATAAAAATTTTGTTTTTAATGTTTATTTTTTAGAGAGGAGAGAGAGAGGGAGAGACAGAGCGCAAGCAGGGGAGGGGCAAAGAGAGAGAGAGACACACACAACCGAATCAGGCTCCAAGCTCTGAACTGTCAGCACAGAGCCTGAGGTGGGGCTCGAACCCATGAACCGTGAGATCATGACGTGAGCTGAAGTCAGACACTTAACCAACTGAGCCACCCAGGCGCCCTTTAACTTAACATTTATTCTTATGTGCATTTTTGGTCTGTTTTTAATTCATATTTTATATTGAGTTCCTTGTGGATATTGAGTACATAAACCTGTTAGTTTTCTCAAGGTATGTAACGTACAAAGTGTAAATCATTAAATGTTTTTGAGTGCCTAGTTCATGGAAAATAGACATAACATTAAAACTTCAAAAAATCATTGTCTTTACTTCATACTTTAAGTGTTGACAAGTTACAATTTTATGGGTGTTTGTGGAAAGGAAATTAGAAATGTAAGCTCAGAATAATTTTTGTATTTAGCAGACAGATATAGAGTCAGAATACATGAATCTGTGTTTTTTTCTTAAATAATGTTTACTTCGTTTTCAGATTGTTGCCAGCAAAGGAGGTTTTGAAATGGTCACCAAGGAGAAGAAATGGTCTAAAGTGGGTAGTCGCTTGGGATATCTGCCAGGAAAAGGAACTGGGTCTCTTTTGAAGTCACACTATGAAAGAATTCTCTACCCATATGAGCTTTTCCAATCTGGTGTCAGCCTTATGGTGAGATGCATCATTCTTTTTTTTTTTTTTTTTTTTAGGAGTGGATAAATCCAGTGGGCCAAATTTGAATGTTAGACTGTGTTCACCATAACAAGTTAGCAGTTAGTATAGGAAGTTAAATTTCTCCTGGTACCAAAATTTGGGATAGCAAGGTGTAGTTTAAAAATTGTGGCTGTTTTTGGTGGTTTACAAGATAAAGGCTAATGGGAATGAAGGCTATTTTCTTATTTATTTAAAATAAATCCTCATGACTTAAGCTTTTTGAAAAATTCCTCTTGGTTTCATGTATTTTTTTTTAACAGCTTTATCGAGGTATAATTTGCATACCATAGAATTCAGTCATTGTAGATACTGAATAAATTTAATAAATTACATATTTATGCAGTAATCACCACAATTCAGTTTTAGAATATTTCCATCAGCCCAGAAAGTTCCTTTGTGTTTAATTGTAGTTGGTTCCTATTCCTACCCTCAAACCCAGATAACAGCTGATCTGCTTTCTGGCTCTGTAGTTTTTTGCCTTTGTAGAAATTTCATAAAGATGGAATCATACAATATAATTTTGTGTCTGGTTTCTTTCACTTAGCCTAATGTTGAAGGTTCATCTATGTTTTAGCCTGTATTAGTACTTCATTCTTTTTTATGGCTGACAATATTCCATTGTATGGATATACCATATTTGTTTATCCATCTACCAGTTGGTGGACAGTTAGATTGTTTCCAGTTTATGGCTATTATGAATAAATGCTATGAATATTCATGTATAAGTCTTTGTGTGGACATATGTTTTCATTTCTCTTGGGTAGATACCTAGGAGTGGAATTGCTGGGTTATATGGTAAGTTTATGTTTAACTTTTTAAGAAACTGCCAAACTGTTTTTCAAAGTGGCTGAACCATTTTACATTCCCACCAGTAATGTAGAGGCCTCCAGTTTCTTCGTCTTTGCCAACACTTGATATTGTCAGTTTTTTTGCTTATAGCCATTCTAGTGGGTGTGTAGTGGTATCTCATTGTGGTTTTAATTTTCATTTCCTTAATGATCAATGGTGTGCATCTTTTCATGTGCATATTAGCATTTGCATATCTTCCTTGATGAAGTGTCTGTTCCGATCTTTTTTTTATTGGGTTGTTTGTCATCTTACACTTCTTTTAAGAGTTTGCTATATAATCTGGATACAAGTCATTTATCAGATACATGATTTTACAAATATATTCTGCTAGTCTGTGGTTTGCCTTTTCATTTTTATAATGGTGTCTGTTTGAAGAGTAGTTTATTGATTTCCCTCCTCCCTGCTTCTATGGATTGTGCTTTTATTGTCCTAAGAAATCTTTTCCTAACCCAAGGCCCCAAAACTACTTTTTGTTTTCATCTAGAAGTTTTATAGTTTTAACTTCTATATTTAGGTATGAGATCCATTTTCAGGGTGTGTGTGTGTGTGTGTGTGTGTGTGTGTGTGTGTGTAGTATGAGGTAAAAGTGTAAGTTCGTTTGTGGGGGGTTGTTAGGAATATCCAGTTGTACCAGTATCATTTGTTTAAATTTTCCCATTTATCTTGACACCTTTGTTGAAAATCAGTTGACTATAAATGTAGGTTTATTTCTGGTCTCCATTTTGTTCTTTGATCCATATATTTACCCTGATACTAATACTGTGCTGTCTTGAGTACTATAGCTTTATAGTAAGTTTTGATATCCAGTAGTATAAGTCTTCCAACTTGGTTCTACTTTTTTTAGAATTTCCAAACAATTTGCATTTCCACATAAATTTTAGGACTGACTTCTCAATTTCTACAACAAAAGCCTGCTAGGATTTTGATAGGGATTGTCTTGAATCTGTAGATCGATTGGTGGGTAGAACTATCACCTGCTTTCATGTAATTTTGGGGATTTATTGGAAATTTATTATTTTTCTCCTGATTCTCAAATCTGACTTCTTATCAATGAATCTGCTCTCTTTGTGTGCTCTGATTCTTTAGGGTGTACAAATGCCTAATTTAGATCTAAAGGAAAAAGTAGAGCCTGAGGTTCTTGGCACTGATGTCCAAACTTCCCCAGAGCCAGGCACAAGAGTGAACATTCTGCCGAAAAGAACAAGACGTGTCAAGTCTCAGGTATCAGCTTCCATGGATCATTTTTAACATGCGTTTTAAGTGCATTGACTGCAGAACAGTTATGTGGTTATTGGAGGCAGTCACACACTGTTGTTCTTTAGAACTTGAAGAGACCTATTTTTCATTTACTTTTACAATAAAAAGGGAAGAAATGATAAAATTCAGTTTGATTTGATTTAGCAAGCTTTTTGTTAATTTTGAACAGTTTTTGAGAGGGATGACAAATCAGAGGGTGACTGGGTATTGTAGGGCCAGCGTTATAGACATGCTGATGATCTGTAGTATATTATATTTTCATGGTTAGAAGTGAGAGGAGTAGGAGAGGATGGTTTTATTTTTCACTCATTCCTTTAAAAGCTAGAGTATGAGCTTGTGTCTGAACCATTCCATTGTTAACTTCTAGAGTGTTCCTGTAGCCTAAAATATTTTTTTTCAGAAAAAAAATGCCTTAATTTCCTTTTTGTGTTTCCTTGTCCTCCTTTTCCCATTCCCATTTGTGGCCCTCAAAGTTACATTTTTTAAAGTTGCTGGTAAAGACAGGTCTGTAGGTTGACAGTGAGATGCCCTTATAACTCTTAGATATGTTTCATTTAACCTGTGGTTGGATCAGAAGAGCAGCTTAACTTGATCCTAATCATTGATTTTAATATATCTAAAGAAACATTGTGTTATAAGAATGGAAATGGTTCCCACTGAAAGTAGGAATGGAGGGAGGGGGGGTGGCTGGGTGGGCTGGGTTGCTCAGTAGGCTAAGCATCTGACTCTTGAATTTCCACTCATGTCATGATCTCACAGTTTGTGGAATCAAGCAGCAGATTCTCTTTCTCCTCTCTCTGCTCCTACCCTGCTCATGCACGCGCTCTCTCTCAGTCAATAAATCAACACTAAAAAAACAAAAGAAAGTGGGAATCAGAGAAGGGACTTGATCTATTCATTATTAATAAGACTTATTGGATCTAGGGTTGTGAGGAGTTCTGTTAGTAGAAAGGAAGGTAGTGATATTTCATCTTGCTTTTCTAGAGCTCAGGGGATATCTGTCTTTCATGCCATGGCAGCTTTCTTTGCTCTGAATTCATGTTCTTTATTTTATATTATTTTATTTATTAAAATTTTTTTTAATGTTTATTATTTTTCTTAAATTTTTTTTTTTTTTAAGGTTTATTTATTTTTGAGACAGAGACAGAGTATGAACGGGGGAGGGTCAGAGAGAGAGGGAGACACAGAATGTGAAACAGGCTCCAGGCTCTGAGCAGTCAACACAGGAGCCCGGACTGGGCTCAACTCACGGACCGTGAGATCGTGACCTGACCCGAAGTCGGATGCTTAACCGACTGAGCCACCCAGGCTCCCCTTTAATGTTTATTATTGAGAGACAGAGAAAGACAGAGGATGAACATGGGAGAGGCAGAGATATGAGGAGACAGAGAATCGGAAGCAGGCTCCAGGCTCTGAGCTGTCAGCACACTGGGAGCCTGATGTGGCGGCTCCAAACTCATGAGATCATGACCTGAGCTGAAGTCAGACACTTAACTGAAGTCAGACACCCAGGCGCCCCTCTCTTTTTTTTTTTTTTTTTTTATGTTTATTTATTTTTGAGAGAGAGAAAGAGAGAGAACGAGTTGGGGAGGGATAGAGAGAGAGGGAGACCCAGAATCTGAACCAGGCTCTAGGCTCCGAGCTGTCAGCACAGAGCCCAATGGCCCAGTGTGGGGCTTGAACTCATGAACTGTGAGATCATGACCCAAGCCAAAATTGGACACTTAACTGACTGAGGCACCCAGGCGCCCCTGAATTTATGCTCCTTAAATAATCTCCTTAATAATAATTTAGCGTCTTAAGTACTTTGATAACAGAAAGTAAGTGTCTTGAATGAGGAGTGTGAATTTAATAGAAATTCAATGGAAAGTGAATTATAAGTTATAACATATTCATTAATTAGTGAGTTATCAATATATAATATAAATCAGTAATTCATAATTTAGTTATATATTATAATTACATAGTATTTATAACTTACATTTATCATAGTAGGAATTCTTTCTTTAAAAATTTTTATTTAATGTTTATTTATTTTGAGACAGAGAACAAGTAGGGGAGGAGCAGAGAGCGGGGAGAGAGAATCCCAAGCAGGCTTTGCACTGTCAGGGCAGAGCCTGACACAGGACTCAGATCGTATGATCATGAACTGAGCTGAAATCAAGAGTTGGATGCTTAACTGCCTGAGTCACCCAGGCGCCCATATCAGTAGAAATTCCTAATTATAAACCATTATAAATTGGTAAACTCTGGCTTAGATTTTTATTACTGTGGTTGATGTCAGAAGTTCTGATCATCTTTGGATATATAGTGATGATTCTATTTTAAGACAAACAGTTGAAGACTAGTCTCTGACATGATGATTCACTTTTGAAGAGTTGCCCCAAGTGGCCCTGCGCATCTAATCATTGGCCAGCTTGTGATGAAATTTTTTGATGTTCCTTCTGAAACCAGAAAAAGTCCTGCTGCTGGTTGCCTGTACATATTATAAGAAAAGGACAACATAGAATGTTTTACCTATTGTAATAATTGTCACTGTAGTCAGATTGGTTGATATCAGGTAGAAAGTAGAACTATTTTAGAATTTTTTTTCTCCAAAGATCTATTCATTCATTCCCTCATTCATGTTATTCATTCATTCATTCATTCATTCATTCATTCGTGTGTGTGTGTGTGTGTGTGTGTGTGTGTATGTGTATGTGTATGTGTATGTATTTATTTAATCTCTACACCCACTGTGGGGCTTGAACTCAACAACCGAGATCAAGAATCACATTCTCTTCTGACTGAGCCAGCCAGGTGTCCTTAGGATTTTCAGTTAAGAATTTCTTGGGGCGCCTTTGTGGCTAAGTTGGTTAAGTGTCCGACTTTGGCTCAGGTCATGATCTCACAGCTTGTGAGTTCGAGCTCTGTGTCAGGCTCTGTGCTGACAGCTCAGAGCCTGGAGCCTGCTTCAGATTCTGTGTCTCCCTTTCTGCCCCACCCCACTCACACTCTGTCTCTGTCTCTCTTAAAAATAAACAAACATTAAAAAAATTTTTTCTATAACTCTTGGGCGCCTGGGTGGCTCAGTCAGTTAAGCATCTAACTCTTGATTTTGGCTCAGGATCTCACACTTGGTGAGATATGAGCTGAGAGTGCAGAGCCTGCATGGGATTCTCTTTCTGTCCCTCCCTGTCTTGGGTGGTATGTGTGCTCCCTCTCTCTCTTTTTTTTTTTTTTTTTTCTTAAAATAAATAAACATTAAAAAAAGAAAAGAATTTCTTCAACTCTCAATTTATCCCTAATTACTGTATTGCCAAGTCTGCCTCATTCCTAGTCTTCAGTTTCAGAAAGAAAATAAAGGCTTTCTGGTAGAACTCCTTCAACTTCTTGCCCCATACACAGAATTGTTAGTATTCATTCTTAATTTCTGCCAATCTCAGTGGGCAAAGGGTACCTTTGTTTCTAAGGATAATCCTTCCACATCCATCCTTTCTGGCTTCTTTAGTGATTTCAATATTACCAGTTGTGAAATCTTTCTCTCCTACCTTCTCTGTCTGCTTGGATCTTCTTTTACCCCCAGTGTAAACATGTTTATGTATCATCTTAAAACAAAAACTCTCTTCCTAGATAGTGCCTTACTCCTTGCCTCTCTAAATGAACTTCATTTTTTTTATATTAAAAAAAATTTTTTTTAATATTTATTTCTGAGAGACAGAGCGCATGTAGGGGAGGGGCAGAGAGAGAGAGGGAGAGAATCTGAAGCAGGCTCCAGGCTCTGAGATGTCAGCACAGAGCCCGACATGGGGCTTAAATTCATAAACCGCAAGATTATGACCTGAGCCGAAGTCGGATGCCCAACTGACAGCCACCCAGGTGCCCCTCTAAGTGAAGTTTCTTGAAAAATAGTCTGTGTTGTCTTGTTTCCTCAGTATCTGCGTAGCTTTTTTACTTTTTTATTTTTTTATTTTTGAGAGAGAAGGAGCATAAGTGTGTTGGGGGGGTGGGGGCGGGCAGAGAAAGAGGAGACACAGAATGCAACGCAGGTTCCAGGCTCTGAGCTGTCAGCACAGAGCCCAGTGAGGGGCTGGAACTCAGACTGCGAGATCATGACCTGAGCCAAAGTTGGACATTCAGCCGACTGAGCCACCCAGGCGCCTCTTTGCTTAGCTTTCATACTCTGTAATCTGACATTGAGTAAAATCATTTTATTGAAACTGCACTACCTAAGTTACCACTGAGTTAATAATTGTCGGAAGCTGAGTACATTTTTTTTAAATTTCTTATCTTACTTCATCTCTGGTCACATATACATTTAATATGGTTGTTGACTCCTCTCCTTGAAATTCAGTTATCTTGATTTTTCTTTGTCTTTCATGATGCCTCTCTCCTGGTTATTGTCTTCACTCTCTGACCTTTCCTTAGTCATCTTTGTTCTCTTTTCTCATTGCCTTTTACTTGGTGTTTTTAGTCGTTTCCTATCTTTACTCTCCCTAGCTGTGTATCTACCCTGTGATTTTAGTTACTACCTATACACTCAAGAATCCTAAATATGTCTTTAAAAAATTTTTTTTAATGTTAATTTATTTACTTCATTATTTATTTATTTTTTAATGTTTACTTTTTTAAAAAATTTTTTAACATTTATTTATTTTTGAGACAGAGAGCATGAACACGGGAGGGTCAGAGAAAGAGGGAGACACAGAATCTGAAACAGGCTCCAGGCTCTGAGCTGTCAGTACAGAGCCCGACGCGGGGCTTGAACCCATGGACCGCGAGATCATGACCTGAGCCGAAGTCGGACGCTTAACCGACTGAGCCACCCAGGCGCCCCAATGTTTACTTTTTTTTGAGAGAGAGAGAGAGAGAGAGAAAGAGCACAAGCGAGTCAGGGACAGAGAAAGAGGGAGACATAGAATCTGAAGCAGGCCTCAGGCTCTGAGCTGTCAGCACAGAGCCTGGTGCGGGGTTCGAACTCACAGACCGCGAGATCATGACCTGAGCCAAAGTCGGATACTTAACCGACTGAGCCACCCAGGTGCCCCTATTATTTATTTATTTTTAAATTTACATCCAAGTTAGCGTATAGTGCAATAATGATTTCAGGAGTAGAGTCTGGTGATTCACCCCCTACATATAATAACTAGTGCTTATCCCAACAAGTGTCCTCCTTAATGCCCCTTACCCATTTAGCCCATGCACCCACCCACAACCCCTCCAGCAACCCCGAGTTTGTTCTCTCTGTTTAAGGGTTTCTTATGTTTTGTTCCCCTTCCTGTTTTTATATTATTTTTGCTTCCCTTCCCTTATGTTCATCTGTTTTATATCTTAAATTCTTTTTTTAATGTTTTTTAAATAATGTTTTTAAATGTTTATTTTTCACAGAGAGAAAGACAGAGAGAGAGAGAGAGAGAGAGAGACAGAGTATGAATGGGGGAGGGGTAGAGAGAGAGAGAGAGGCAGACACAGAATCTGATGCAGGCTCCAGGCTCTGAGCTGTTAGCACAGAGCTCAACGTGGGGCTTGAACTCATGAACCTTGAGATCATGACCTGAGCTGAAGTTGGACACTTCACTGACTGAGTCACCCAGGTGCCCTGTTGTATTTTAAATTCTCAATATTTATTTATTTATTTAATTTTATTTTATTCTATTTCATTTTATTTTTTAAAATTTTTTCTTAAGTTTATTTTGAGAGAGAGAGTGAGCGGGGAAAGGGCAGATAGGGAGAGAGAGAGAGAGAGAGAGAGAGAGAGAGAGAGAGAGAGAGAGAGACAATCCCAAGCAGGCTCCACATTGTCAGCACAGAGCCTGCTGTGGGGCTTGAACGCATGAACTGTGAAATCTCTACCTGAGCTGAAATCAAGAGTTGGATGCTTAACTGACTGAGACATCCAGGCGCCCCAAGACTCCTAAATATGTTTTGACACCATGGTTATTTATTTTTGAGAGGGAGAGAGAGACAGAACGCAAGAAGGGGAGGGACAGAGAGAGAGGGAGATGGAGAATCTGAAGCAGGCTCCGGGCTCTGAGCTGTTAGCACTGAGCCCAGAGTGGGGCTTGAACCCATCAACCACGAGATCATGACCTGAGCCGAAGTCAGAAGCTTAACTGACTGAGCCACCCAGGCGCCTAACTCTCCTAAATATGTCTTGTCACCATGTTTCTTTTCTGTTTACCTGGGATGTGTGTGTGTGTAGAATATACGTATACACGTGTACTTCTTGGTGGCCACGGCAGGTATGCTGAATTCAGTACACCTCAAACATTATTACCTTTTCTAAATCCATTTTTCATTTGTTATTTTCTAGCTCAGTGTCTTTGACAAGCCTTCCATCAGTCTCTTAAACAAAAAACAAGTTATGAAAGATATCCCACTCCCCCTTCTTCTATCACATCACTTGCTTTTCTCTGCTAGAGTTGTTTTTCATCTGCAGCCTCATTAGCGAGCTTTTTGAAAGCTCGTTTATACATTCAAGGTTTTACACTGAAGATCAATTACCTTTAATTACATTCAAAACTTTTTTTTTTAAGGGAATAAGCTGTTGGGCTGTATCTGTATAAATGTGCTTTTTATTTTCTGGAGGTACAATGAAAGTTTACACTTGTATCTCACTGCATCATATCTGATTGCAGAAATTAAAGCATAATTTACAAGAAAAAAATAGAAAACAGTTTGTGAAGGGTTATCAAACCCTTAGCATATTTATACTTTAGAATGAAGCCCATAATGCCAATATGTCTCATTATTAGTGACACTAAGTTTGAGCCAATTTCTCCATTATACTTAAATTAGTATAATCAAATCAAAGTTTATGTGTATTAAAATGCCATTTTGGTTGGTTTGGCTCTTATATGATCATAGGTAGTTTGGTTCTTATATGATCATAAGGTAGTCTGTATTTTGTCCTGGTTTATTTTTATTCTTACTGACTATATTTTTAGTAAATTTTGGTTATTTATTTAGTGTACATTCAGAGCGTATGGGCCATCTGAATTCATGATGTAACACTTGTGTCTACCAGGATGCTCTCGTCTTCAAGTACTAGAATGCCAAATGACATCAGTTTAAACATTAACAACACAGTTTTCACATAAGGACACGTTTTTCACATAAGATTTACAGGTATAGGTAGTTCTAGGATTGATGCAGCAACTGCACATTGCCATGAAGGGCCAGGCTCTTTCCATCTTTCTGCCTTGCTTTCTTCAGTGTGTGGGTAATATATTTCTTCCTAATTGCATTGTGGTTGCTGCATAGTCCAGCACCATACTTTCACCAGGTGAATCTCCTAGCAGTATGGAAGGAAGTTGGGACAAAAGGCTTACTCTTCGAGAAGCTTTTTCTCATTAGAAGATGAACATCTTCCCAAGAGACTTCCAGTAGACATTCTTTGTGTCTCATTGGCTAGACCAGGGTAACAGTTCTACCTCTGGCTAGGTCATCACTAATAATGAGAAATGGCATGACTGGCTTAGGATAATCATTCATCTCATGGACTAGGCATACTGCCTTCTGTTCAAAGAAGGATGTTCATTAGCAAGTTAGAAGTGAGGATCTCTGTTGAGTTATTACCAGTATTATATTGGTTATTACCAGTATTATTTGTCTCTGGACAGAACTTAATTGACAACTGTGCTTTTCTTAGAGATAGGTTTTCTTTTGTTGAAAGGAAGCTGGGTGTTGCATAGTGCTTGGATGACTGTTCAACTGTTGTAATGAGGCAGTGAGTGGATTTAGAGAGAAGAAATCAGTTAATTTTTTTCTCATTTTGAAGAGGATCTTGAAATTTTTCTTGGTTAGGAAAATAAATATATGAATCAGAATAATTAGATAATACGAGTTTTGTTTATTGTTTTAGTCAGAATCTGGAGAGGTGAATAGAAACACGGAACTGAAGAAACTTCGAATTTTTGGGGCTGGCCCTAAGGTTGTGGGCCTAGCAATGGGAGCAAAAGATAAAGAAGGTAAAATCTGTTATTTGGTCATGAAAAGAAATAAGGTAATAAAAATAATATTTGAATTGCGGTCTGCCTTGGGATTTTCTTGAGTGTAAACTTGCAGTATGGTTTTTAGATCACCCTTTATGGCAGATAATCTTGAATTTAAGGCTTGAGGAACCATATTTTATTGAATTTTTATATTTGAAAGAGATAAATTTTCATTTTTATGTCTGATATGTGACAGAAATTTATAGTTTCTGAATGCTTTAGTTTATGAGAGAGTGGTGAAATAAATGGTTCTTACTTGGTGATCTAAAGCTTTTAAATTCAGAGACAGGGTTCCGTGACCTTTACTATTGACATGTACTGCGGGGAGTTCATGACTTACATTCTAATTCCAATTTTGTTGTTTTTCCATAATTATCTTGATACATTATGACACTTCATTTAAAAAAAACTGTGAAGAAAGACTAGTTACTCTCAGCTTAGTATGTTTGAAACTTCTTGTGAGTAAAATTTCTAATGTAAAGGTCAAGTTTTGCTGTTCTATGTACATGTCAGTTTGAAAACTCAGTTTAACAAAGGTTTTGTTGGATTTGTTTTTAGTATATATGAATTTAATGAAGTGCTATAATCACAAGTCACATTAGTTATTATCCATTTCATGATATAAATCACAATTCAGATTGTGGACGAGAACTCTGGAGGATCAGATAATATTGTCCCATCACTCTAAAAACATTCAGTGTGATAGGACTTACCAAATACATTATGATATTTATTATCACCCTTTTAAGAATTAAGCACTTAATTGTCTTTTTCATTCTTGTACTTAATGCATTGGCTGGCAGTGATCTGAAAACTAGTCTCAAGTTAGTCCCTGATAAGTACTACATACAGGCAGTATAGAATTAGTAGTTAAGCTCTCTAGAGCTTGATTGCCTGGAATGGATTCCCAAATCTGCCTCTGACTGGCTTTATGATTTTGGGCAAGTTACTTCTCTATACTTTAGATTCTTTATCTTCAATGGGGATAGTAGCATATCTACCTCATAGTGTTGTGAGTTTTAATTTAAATAATTTTAAGTAGTGTCTGGTCCAGAGTAAGCTCTCAACATTAGTTTTTACTATTATTATATAACTATTTTTATTTCAAGATGAGGTCTCCCGAAGACGAAAAGTTACCAACAGGTCAGACGCATTTAACATGCAAATGAGACAACGGAAAGGAACTCTCTCTGTTAACTTTGTAAGTGTTCTGAGATGTGTCAGGAGGGAAAGGATTTATTTTTAGTTTTGCACTTTTTTATCTCGTTATGTATTAGTATGCCATTTGGTTAGTTCATTTGGTTAGAAGACTAGATGGTAAATTTAAAGTTGCAGCTTTCGTTTATGTAATGTTAACCTTGCTTTGTCCATTTACATTGACTCTTCCCCTAAGTTATACTCATGTATACCTTGTGAATGAGAGAATAAGAATCTAAATTCTTGAGCTGTATTGTGGACAGTGCTCAGTATTCGTTCTCTACAAAGAGTGTTTGTGTATAGGAAGGATGACATGGTGTATTTTATTTATAGAAATTGACTTTCAAGTGGTCTAGAAAGTCTTTCTTTATTCTGATACCTTGATATGCTTTTATTAAGTAGAAGTGCTGAGGAAATTGAGATTTTATGAAAACCTGTTTAAATACAGTCATTTAAAAAATATTCAGGATTTAAGTTATGTGTACTTTTTAGTATACATTATTTTGTTTCAATTAAGGAATTCCTGGTAAAAATTCAGTATTACTTATTGTAGAAAATAGACTTTTGTTTTGTTTGTTTTCTAACAGGTTGATCTCTATGTTTGTATGTTTTGTGGTCGGGGAAATAATGAAGATAAATTGCTTTTGTGTGATGGATGTGATGACAGCTATCATACATTTTGTTTAATTCCCCCACTACCTGATGTGCCCAAAGGAGACTGGAGGTGTCCTAAATGTGTTGCTGAGGTACAAGCCTAAACTTTATAGATTCTTTTTTAATTAATAACAATAATATACACATACACACATATAGTAAATCCAATTTCCAAAAGTGCTTGCTTTGTTCTTCAATGTTTAAAATCTCTAAGATTTTTTTTTTTTTTTGAGAGAGAGAGAGAGAGGGCACAGGTAAGCAAGAGGCAGAAAGAGAGGGAGAGAGAGAGAGAGAAAGAGAGAGGTGGACTCATCCAGGGTTCATGTTTTACCTGAAACAGGGCTTGTGCTTACCCGAATCGGCAGAGCACTAGCTCTCCTGAAGCAGGGCTCGAGCTCACCCAGTGTGAGACTCGAACTCGTAAGCTGTGAGGTCATGACCTAAGCTGAAGTCAGATGCTTAACAACTGAGCCACCCAGGTGCCCTA